GGCCCCAACTTTAGTCAGGACATCTTCCCGGTTACGGGTAATTTTCCCTAGGTCGAAGATAGCGGGAAAAGTTCCTCCAGAATCGGGGGTGGTTATTAATCAAACGAGGAGTGATAAAGAGGGTTCCGGAAATTGATAAGCGGGTGCAGATAGTCCTGGGATAGGGTGGACAGGGGAGGACCAGGTCCCTCGAAATGTAAAAACCAATTCGACTCGCCTCCCCTGCGGCGGTACGAGGTCGGACGTATGACCGGTTCATTTACAAATTCGCCCGCGAATGGACCAATCAAATATATGGAAAGCGCACTTCCCGGGGGTTCAGCTTCAAATCGAGTTCCCCGTAAGTCCATCCCCGGCAGAGTGTGCACAGAAGACCGGAGGGTAAATTCCGTAGCGGTATGTAGGTCGCCGAAAATCCTCCTCGGATCCCGTTGACAGTTCCTGCATTTCCCGGCCGTGTAAAAGAATCCCCAAATGGAGCGCATCGATCACCATTCGAAATAAATGCAATTGCGCGACGATATCCGTTATATGGAATTTCTTCCGTGAAGGAGCTCGGAAAGGCGACCGACCGATTGGGGGTGTCGAAAGACTCCCCCCTTGCAGGACGGGATGTCTGACGACGTTATCGGAATTGTTTCGACAGGGCCGAGTGCAGCATCCACGGGTGATTCCAAATGGCGCCGATGCACACACAATCCCATTACAGCAAACCTCGTAGTTAGCGCCCAGGGCGAGCCGAAATTGCCAGACAATTGCAAATATGCGCCGAAACGCGTCTCCGTGTTCGCCGTCGAAGACGTCGCCCCTAGAAGGTGTAGTCTCCCCGCGGGAGTCAATTATCGGTACACCCACTCACCAACACCCTTACGCAACGCATTCGGGCGATCCCCCAGGTCGGACCCCCAAGAGACGGGACCCATGAATCCGGGAGCGTTTACGCCGGCTCGCGGGGTTCGATGAATACCAAAACGGTTCTGCAGCATCCCTTGCAAAGGGATGCAGGGAAGATCTTAGGGTTGGTGGGAGTAGATCCGGGATTTTAGTGCATCGCGTAGGGTATATTTGAATTTTGTAATGACTTCGGGTCAGGGTGCCGCGACCTGGTGCCAGGTCCGCAGGTGGTCCCGAAGGTCGCGGCTCCATGGCGCAGGCACGGCAGAAGGGTAAACGGCGCATCGATCCACGGTCTGCCAGGTCGACCCACCGAGCCTGCTCTCTCCCTCTCTCCCACATCCCCTAGACTCTACCCTCTCCCTCGCTCCGCACCGCGCCGATGCTGCGCCGCGCTATATCGCCGCGTTATTATTTATGCGAGCGCATTGTAAATCGGCTCGAATTACAGAAAGGCACCCGGGGGAATCTGGGCGGCCGGAGGGGGTGTGCCAGGGTGTCGGTAGCGAGAGGGAGGCGAGCTTAAGTGGGAAATGGAAAAGCAACGAGAGAAACGCGCCTCACCCGCCCTCGGATCCAGCGGATTTGTTCCGCCGTGCGGAATTCCAAATGCACCGGCCAGGTCGGCTCCCCCGCCCTCGGCCCGATGAGTTATGATTAATTAAGAGAGGGTGGGAGAAGGAGTACAAGAGGTAGAGGCATTTCGTCTGCCGACTCGCTTCTTTGTTACCGATACACGTAATCGCCCTACGTACTTACATACGCGACTCTCCTCGCGGCCTGATGCACCTAACCTGACGATAAATCGACCCGCACATTCTAAGATTAATAATCTCAGAGTACTCCCTTCCACCGACTTCGACGCTTTTCCGTACCTTTCGTCAGGTCTTGCGATTGCAATTCCTCGAGCTCGCGGGCTCGTCCGATGCGAGTCAGGCCACGCGCCCTTGCATGATGCACAATTGCATGCAGAAGCCGCACTCCGTACACACTCTTAACGCGTACAAGTGGGCTAACCCCGATGTGGTATGCACACAACGACCAAGAGTATTGAGATTCTCCGGGTAACGCGGATTGTCCGATGCAAGTCAGGCCGAGCAATCGGGCGCGTCCGATCGCGAGTGCATATAAGTGCATAGAGAGAGCGCTCATGAGGAGCGCGTAATGAGTCGTCGGGCTCATCTGTGAGGGAAATTAGCCCCCGGAAAAGTGCTCATCGACCCGGCATCGGAGACCCCGAGGTAACTTGACACGTTTCATGCAAATCGTTTCCCTGCAGTGCACAAGTGCAACATCAAGACATCCTGCGTATGCTCCGCGGGCCGAAAGACTGCGCGCGCACGCGGATGCGTCCCGCGAAAGTCATCTTTACGGATTCCGCCGACGTCCCGTACAAAGTGAACGGCCATCGCTGGAAATCGAATTATCCCCGGCGAGCATTCTGAATAACCATGAGGTAATGCGCGTTAATACGAAAGGCACGCGACGTTCGCTGATTCGACGGACATCAAAGGCCGCGCCTTGACAATCCGGGGGGGAAAATTAGTCCGCTCGAATTAATTGTTCGGAACAACCATTGTACGTTAACCAACCCCCCCGGGAGTCCCTGAAACTACGGAACCACGGATCAACCACCTCCACCATGGAAACGATCCGTCGTATATCCCGACATATAAGAACTGACCTCGCGACACGATAAATTCTTCCCAAAGCCCAAAATTAATGAATAATCCCCATCTAAAATAATTAACAAACGATCCGCGTCATTCACCTAAGTAAATCCTATTCACTCGTGCAGGTACATATACACCCTTCTGGACGTACAATAAATTGAAACTGCGCATCTCGGGCCGGACTTCTAATACCAATGGACGAAGGGTCGACCGCGCCTCGGCGTGCAGTCGACACATTAAAATTTGCGACGAGCCCCCCCGAGGAGGCACAGCAGGGCGGGGGGAGGGGAACGGCGTCGTTGTTCTTGTTGTCGCGAGCATGAAAGCGGCCGGGATCGATTTATCGATCCGACCGATGAAAACTCGCCGTCCTGGGGGGGCGATTCTCTCTCGGGCACGGTTAAACGAAATATTGATTTATTTATACCACTTGCGCGTCCACGTTGTTCCGCACGGGGCGCATTAATATTCATTCCGCGGACTCTTTGCCCCTTTTCCGCCGTCTAATCTTAACGCAGATTAATGGGGCGGTGGGCGGCGCTTTAACCCCGTCGATTCCAATGATCGATTTTCGAACGACGGCGTCGACATTTTCCGGCTTTTCCGGCGCGGAATCCGCGCCGGCCGGCGAAACACGGCCGCGTATCGTCGATTGCGGCACCGCTTACAACAATGGCGCGCAAATGTTCTCCCCCCCGCGAGAGGAGGCAGGGAGGGAGGCGTTTTGTAAAGAGCGCCGGTGAGGGAATACTTTCGACGAGGCGATATGAATTTTCAGGAATTCCGGGCCCGCGTAACCGGGACCCCGGCATTAACGTTTTGGTTTAACGGGGAGGCATTCCGCCTGGCGGAAATTGTTGTGAAAAAAAAAAATATTTATTTCGATGGAAATTTCTGTCGGGGAAGGGGGGCGTGGAAGAAGTGGGTGATAATCGAGCCGGGGCGAAAACCTTAAGACAATAAGGGATGGAGGGTGTATGTGTGGTGGTGTATATATATATAGTTAATAACAATTTTCGCCCCCCGGGACTATTAATTAACCCGAGCAAAGGCGCGATCACGTTTTCTCCCCGTGAGGTGCGCAACCACCCCTCACCCCGCAATTTGGCACCCTGGTAAATGTTAATAACGGGGCGAAGGCGGACCGTGGTGGCGACGGGTCCGCGGAGGGTGCTTTCCTTGGACAAATAATTGCGCGAATGCGCCTTATCCCGGAAACGACGAGCCTAATTAAGCGAGGATCGAAGCGTTCCGGGCCGGCGCGCCTTTTAATAAACCCGGCGGAACGCTAAGGTCTATTTGTCCCGGCGAATTAAATACACAAATCGGGAAATTAGCGGCAGACGGCGCAAGAGGCCTTTGTTTCGCGTCGAATAAAATGCGGGAGGGACTACTTCGCCCTGGCGACGCGACCGGTCGAATACTTTGTCAACTCGAGAGAGTCGGACTCGAGAACGGTGCTAACTGGGGTTTAAACCGCGATTTTATAACAATTTTTCGCGTAACTCGAGTAACAATAAAGGTTACTCGCGGCGAATCGAGGATAGCACTTTTAAATGGCACTACTAGGCTGATAAATGTCATTAAATGGTATGTGTTAATTATGTCCTGAAATATGTATTTCTATAAATCTGTAAAAAATTTCACGCCATCCTGTACACGCTTAACTCGAGTTTAACGAGTTAGTGTATTAATCTCCCGTCCCTCCTCCGCGGCGCTGCTAGGTCGCGACCAACTAGTCGCCGTTCTCGAGGTTCGATTTTCGATTCCCCGCATTCCGGGGAGATTTCGGGGACGGAACCGCATCCGGCCCCTGACTTCCCGGGAATCGTATCTCGCGCCGTTTCGGCAAACGTATTAACGGCGATCGTGACCGGCGTAGCGTCTCCGCTCGGTACGAGGGTCACGTGGCTATCGACTTCCCGGCGTCGACGCTTCGAGAACATTTCCGTGGAACGCGCTGACTCAGCGAGCGCTACGGAGAAAACTCGATTCGCAGGCCGATCCTTAACGAGGTCGGCAAAATATGCCGCGTAGTAGCAATAATCTCGTCTACGCCGATTCGAACGATCGCGGCCGCCATGACAGGGTAACGGTCCGCCTAAAAGGTTCGACGCGCCGGAAACAGAGTTGGAAGTCTTACATCTAGAATATTCTGCGCTGTAGGGAGTACATTTCGTCGGTGGGCACTCGGATTCCATGGACGGCTGGGGCTCTCCTCGGGTGGACACCTGTTCCTCGAGCTGCATCGCTGCGGCGGCGGCGGTCGCGGCGGCGCGTCGTCCCGCTCGAGCAGTCGAGCCTTGAATGGCGGGCCCAGAGGGCGCGCGCGGCGCCGGCCACGGGGCTGTAGTTCGAGGTGTCGCCGCGGGTCACGGTGGCGCTGCGCGGCCTCGGCGCGCATCAGTCCGCCGCGGGGCCGCGAGGGGATTGCACTGCTCTTATCAATTGGGCGCTCGCGGGCCGCTCTGCCGCGGCGTTTCCGTTCTACCGAGGCGAAACCTCGACCAATCGGCCGCCCCCTTTGGCGCCGAGGTTTGCCGAGTCCTCCGCGAGGGACCGGGAAAGCGGCACGCGCGAAACGCCGGCATGAACTGCCGATTCCGCCGCGGGCGCCGACTCGAGTGCCGGAACTAGTGTGGCCAGTGCTTACCGGTGCGGAAGGAAGACCCTGATTGACTTCTTTCCCCTGGGCCGGAAGACGCGCTACATCGGAAACTCCGCGGGGCGCTCCATATCCCCAGAAGGTAAAACTACATCATTCATTTTTATTTTCATTATTCCTCCCGTGAGGAAAGTTATACGATAAAAATAAGACCATGTGCGTAAGCATGCCGAGTAATTTCAGGTTATGCTCCAAAATCCGGACACCGTTCCTCGCCGGTTTTTTCGCTTTTCTTGTGCTTAAAATCCCCTCCCCGAAAATTCGCTTGCAGACAAATTTCTGGAAATGTTCGAAAACACTGCCCACGTTACCCAACGATTATTACCGAGTAGCTTGTAAGACTATAAGAGTGAAGGTACATTTTATCGCCGGTCTATCTCTCGTTATCTTGACTTTTTATCTTATTCACTAGGTTTCGTGGGCGAACAGGTGGTTACGTAATCTCAGAATTTTTGGGAACCTCCATGTTGCTCCGAAGGAATGAATTTCATTTGAAATGATTTTATTGAAACGGTTTGATGACTCGAGGAAATGAACGTGGTCGAGTTAACTGAAATTCGGTTAACTCGACCAAGATGTTTCTCGGAATGAAATAAATGCAGAGAAATGATTTTATTTAATGAAGCATATTTGTATGTGTCCGTAGAGGGAGTTAATTATTAATTGAATTCGGAGGGTACCGGAATGTTCCGTAATTTGTTAAATGTACTTGTCATTCCTACCTGTTAGCCCGTTATAATGTTTGTTTCAGAGACTAGGGTTCGTTTAGCCCAACCCTTGACAAACAAATGTCCGTTTCCTTCTCCATTTCACCTCTCTTTGATGGGTATAAATGCTCGAAAGTAGATTTCAAACCAACTCGCGAACTTTCCCGGGAAAGTAGTCACTTAGATCTTCGACATTTCGGAAAAGCGGAAAAGTTCCCCTTAGACGCGGGGGCGGAAAAATGGAAGCTTCGCCCGATAAAAATCAGGCCAGCAAATAAAACATTGATAAATAGAGCCGAAGTGGCTCTAAAATGGAGAGTATCATTATCGAATGAGGTCACTGCTCAAAGTACATTTCAAAGCCAGTTGCACATCCCGGGGCAGGAATCAGATATGCCCATATTTTAATTAAGTTACTAATTTAATTACTTTCCGTTTTAATTGCACCCCGATGCGCGGCGGACAAATAATAAAATAAGACCACGTATCGTTACTTGCACCAATATTCCGTGTTTTAAATGCGACCGATGGCTTGGGAAATGTGTCGTCTAATTTGCGCTAAATTTGCGCGTAATGTTTGCATAATCAATAAAACCTAATGTATAAAAACTTAATTTGCGCGTAATCTTTGTATAACAAATAAATTATATGTTTCCGCGATGGGGGGAGGGGGAGGTAATAAAGCTGTTTTATTTTCAATTGGTGCTCATCTCCATTATTCGAGGGCAGAGCCATCCCGGTGACCTTTGGTGCTTTTTTTTTTCTTGCGGCGCAATTTATGGTTATTTTCCGCCCCGATGACGGCGCGGACGGAGCTTTCCACTTTGCTGCCGTTCAGCCGGTTGCGGTTTTCCGCTGTGCCGGAAGAAAAAAAAAACGGAAACGAAGGGAAAGATATGAAACGCGGGAAATGGGGGCAAAGAGAGCGGGGAGAAATAAAGTCTAGCGGTAACGCCGCCGATATTTCATTGCACGTCCCGAGCCGTGCAACAATGCCCGTAACTACGTCAGCTCCAGTTGGCTCCGGGCTCGGAACTTGCTCAAATGTGATTGATTTAAGGCGAGCCTGGAAGTACATCCCGGAAATTGGAGCACGAGCCACTTTTCCCATGCAAAAAAATTTTCAAGATTTCTCACGACTTCGTTTGATTTAATTGTATTTTTATTTCCTTTCTCTTTATCGCGGGGGATATAGAGTAAATATGAAACTTCTTCGATTCTTGTACGAGTCAAGGAGTTTTCCGACAGCTTGAGTTGGCTCCCGGTTCGGAACTTGTTCAAACATCGATTTAAAGCGAGCTTGGATGCACATCTCGGAAATTGAAACACGAGGCATTTTTCTTATGCAGAACCATTTTTAAGATTTTTCAGGGCTTTGTTTGATTTAATTGTGTTTTTTTTCTTTCCTCTTTTTTTTTGTAGCAGGGGTATGGAATAAATATGAAAGTTCCTTGATTTTTCTCCTAGTCGGGGAGTTTTCGCGCCGTGAGCACGGCGCAATCGGGAATTTGCATACGGAAGAGAGGACGACTGCTATGTAAGGTGCATTCACGAGGAAGTTCCTCCGCGCCCGTGGAAGCGGGTAATCCCCGAGACGGGCGAGCAGTACTGTCCATAAATCATCGTCGGAATTAATGGCACAATTAGTTAACGCCGATTCAAAACCAACAAATCCTCCGGCCATAACTTACCGGAGAGCCATAGTAATTACACCCTATCAGCCGAGTTCCAATACGCGACGGCCTTTCCCGGATTCCCTCACACCTATCCTGGGGGATTCTTCCTTGAGTCACCAGCCCGAGGGAAACCCCCCAACCCCGGTCGTGCCAACTTGACCACACTGCCGATTGAAAATTACATCGAAATCCCATCTCTGGGAGGAACTTTATCCTCGAGCCCCTCGCTAAACGCGCTTTTTCCGATACTTAACCGGATAAATTCGTCCCGCTTCTCGTTGCGACCTGGCAAATATTATTCCCACCGACGGATTATTTCCTCCTTTGCATTGCAAAACATCTCCCGGCGAAATAATTCCCTCCCTCCTCAAAAAAAAAAAAATTTACGAGGCGCATCGCCAGTCCTGCGGTAACTTTTACGGGATTCGAGACGAAAGGGTCTCTCCTGGAAAATCTAGGGAATTCATTTAGGGCATCGGGAGAATCTAGTGGAGTCGAAGATTCGACCGCGATTTTGGCAGATAAATCGATGATAATCGCTGCTTGGTGGAAATTAATCGATGATACACTCGGTGCGTCATCAATTTGTGCGCGTCTAGAAAGGGATAGAACGAATCACGGCGTCTCTCTGAATATTAATTCCTCGGGAAGAGGAACAGTAAGACTCGAGCATGTCTCTCGTATCGTAATAAAAAGGACGAGTCGGAAGAACGAGCGTTTACATATTTCATAAGGCCAAGCCCTCTCTCTATCTCTCTTTTTCCCCGTCTTTGCTCGGCTACGCCGGGGATCTTGCCGCTATCTCCTGCAGCTTCCTCCCTTTTCCTTCCCTCTTTTTTACCCCCTTCACCGGGATTCCGATTTCGAAGTTTAATTGGATAGGTGGATTTGCAGTCCCCGGGATCGGCCTGCATGGGGAACTGGAGTAGCGTAGGGGAAATAGGCGGGATAAATAATTTAAACTCCGAAGGCGCTCTCAAAGGGCGCCGCGTCGGCTCCCGTTTAAGTACTTGTAAATTTAGACATTTCATCTGCCCCGGGTTATGCATCTTCGGAATCGTCCCAAAACATGCCCCGCCAAAATAAGATGCACCGAGTCTAAATAAGACCCGACTAGGACGCCGAGGCGTTCGCCTCCTCCACCTCTATCTTTATCTGGAGATGCATTTTTCACATTTTTCCAAAAATTCCCCATTTTTCATTCCTTTCATTTCCTCTCCTCTCCTCGTCGACGTTTATTCGTCGCGGAACGTTCGATTCTCCTCCACCCTCGACGATGGAAAGTTTCGAGCGTTCTTCACGCTCGCCAAAATTCAAGCCCCTCGGTGACACTCGACGGCCCGAAATTCCTCCCACTTGGCGGAAAAAGCGGAGCCGCGTTTTCCGTCGTTATCGGGGAGAGTAGACCTTCGGGAAGACTCGAACTTCCTTCAGGATTTCTGCCGTTCGACGTCTCTTCCGCGACAGGACGCCTCGATGGTGTTCGAGTGGGTCGGGATGACAAATTTTGACGTCCCGACGCCAAGTCGAGGATGCTCTCTCTTCTCGTCGTGGAATACCTTGTTACATCTTGTTAATAAATGTTAATTAATAAACTCAACGTTTATTTATTTATTTATTTATTTTTTAATAACCCATTAATTCATTCCTCTCCTGCTCGCTCGATTTCGAAGTTCGCGGTCGGTCTTGCGATCAAAGCTCCAGTCTCGCCTCTCCTCCGGTCCCCAACTTTTTCGCTCCCGCGAGTCTTAATGAATTTTATGCAGAAACTCGAAGAGCGACGGCCCATCGGAATAACCTCGCTACGCCTATGGCGGCCGATTAATTAAATTGCTCCGCTCGACAGGTCGTACTCGCATTCGTTAGCGAAGACCAACGACCGTCAGTCCGCGAATAATCGGACGAGCCTCGCGAAACCTTCGAATGTCTGCCGAATCCGATGTTAACTCCGTTCCCGAAGGATTTCCTCCCGTCGAATCTTGTCGAATCTCGTCAGAAAAGAAAAAGAAACAAAAAGAAATGCGGAATCATCACCCTTCCTAAATCCTCCCAGAGATCCCTAAAAAATTCCCCAATCGTCCCAGGACCCTGGTGAGGTCCTCGGAGGGGACGCGGAATTTTTCCGCCGGATTTCACCGCGACTGGACCTCCGTGGAATTTTTTCTTTCCCACCGATTTTCCCCGACGCCATTATTTTCTCATGCTCGGTGCACCGTGGCCGACGTTCCTCGAGGGCTCTTAATTTTTCTTCGACCCCAGGACCTCGCGAATTTGGACCCGACCCCGGGATGTGTTTCGGCTACTCGAGCCGGCCCTCCATTAGGAATGCGAATGAAAATAAGTCGGATCCCTGGAAACGTCGAGGATTTATGATTGGCCGGGACCCATTTCTCAAACCCGCCGCCGATTTCCAAGGAGCGCCTCCCTTCTTATTCCTTCCCCGAGTTATGCCGATTCTGTGAGTGTGCGGCTTTTTACACGAGTGCCGTGCGTTCCTTGGCGCGGCCGCTGCCGTGAAAAAGGAAACCCTCCGGGTCCCCTTTACTCCTTCATGGAAATGCTAAGAAGCCCGGTTTTTGTTTAATTAGGGGACCCATACCTTCGGGGGGAATATTCATTATGCTAATCCTTTTAATTAGCCTTGATGGCCCCGAGAACTCGGCTCGGTCGACATGTAGATATGAATATTTATCCCGCGA